ATGACCATACATTTATATTACCTATACAATCGAAAATTATTTAGTATTTATGGAGAACGTGATAAAGTTATATCAAGAATTCAAAATCATTTTCAAGAAGTCTATTTTGGGTCACTGAATATTCAAAGTATCCAAACTCCCCAGTTGGATTCATTCAACATGCGAAAACTACCACTATCGAGCCAAAACCAGAAGCTCCGGTATTCCATTCTGCTACACATTCCGAGACTCCGATGGTTGCTCACCTCAGGCAACCTCGTTTTCTATTGGCCGGAGTCGGATTTCACGCATTCCGACCAAGGTCTCGCATCGGGGCGTTGCCCATTCTTCGGGTCTCCCCGTCCGCCATCGGGGAGACCCGAAGAATGGTTCTTCACCTTTTAAATGGGTTTCGGTTAAAGAACCATATTTGAGTCATAGAGGAAATGTCCAAATAGCGGAATTTAGCCACATGCAGGTTGTTTTTCCCGCCCAATTTCAAATTGATTTAATAAATTGTCTAATTTTTGTTGAAATTTACGCATGGACAAAGTCAATTTGAGGGATTTTGGGAGACCTTAAATTAAAAAAAAATTGCCTCTTTTGTCCTGGCAACTGAGAGTGACAGTATTTAAAATAAGATGCGACAAAATAGCCCATTGAAAACATAAAGTTGACAATATTTCGAAGGCCAACCACTTTTGGAACAGACAACCTTACATAAACTTACCCTTATTTTCGTGTGTGGCGAATTCACTTTGCAAACAATCTGATGTTCTATTTTGAAAATGAGTTAATCGAGGTAAAGTTTCAAAGTAACTTGTTCGGAAAATCGTCTTTTCCACCTTCAAAGTTTTTCAATCGATTGCAATTTTCCGAGGTCTACTTTTTTTTATGAGATCGTACGTTTTTTAACAAATTTCAACATTTTATTAACAGAGTTATGCATAACATAATGCATGCAAAAAGCTGTTTTTCCTAAAAAATTTAGCTACCTTAAATCCGCAAAGAAAACATTGATACAATTTGTCCTGCAAAATCGTCGTTTTGATCTTCAAACTCTTATGACTTTCAAGTTTCTCAACCGATTTCAATTTGGCAAAAACCGTTTTTAGACAAAATCACCCTCTTTAGAACGAGCTTTAGAACGAGCTTTAGAACGAGCTTTAGAACGAGATGCGTGTCATCCGCCTTCGAGTTAAGTGCCATCATACAAAGTATTTCTTTTTCTAAATTATATATGAAATAAGAAAAAAGATCATTAGTCGACATTAATAAACCCATCGCTAAGGAGGGTGTGTGATGACCCCGAACGCAACAGGAAACTAATTAGATGGCGATTCAAACTCGAAGAATATGACTGAATGACGATATAAAATACAGGGTGCCCACCGGGAAACGCCGCGATCGATGTCTGGTAAACTATCATTAACAGAAACTTGAAAATTGGACAGTGTACCAAAGTCATTATTTAAATGATAATATATTTAAGTGTAACAAACCATACTATGTTATATACAGGGTGTCTGTTTTTGGAGCTCAACCATGGGGATCTCGGTAACCATACTAGATACGAGATTGGTTAAACTGGGGCAAAGTTGTGCAGTCTAGAGCTTAATAAAATACCCATTGGAAAATTGAATTGAAAAATTTAAAAGATTCTGCTACTTCCGGAGATATCCGAAGTGTTTATTTTTCCTTAGCTTGTTTGACGCGGAAATTTAAAATTAATAATTCTTTGTCATTGCAACTTTTTTGCTTCGTCAACGTGGCGATGTATGCAAAATTAAAATACGCTTTTCTCCTCTTTTATCCTACTGAAAGGGATACAGGAACTGTCGGAAATCTATTGATTAAACAAAAGAGTGGGTGTTATTCCAAAGCGCTCTTTGCAAAAATAGGATTTTTGTTATTTTTACCAAACAGCAAGACTGAACCTTAACATCATCTTCAGAACTCTATAATTGAAAGAAAAAGTAAGTCCGTTTTGCGAAGCCTAGTTGTCATTAATTAACTCAAATTAATTAGTTACATTGGATTCTCTTAAAAGTAATAAACCCGCTATCAACCGTGAAATCGTCCAAATATGATTTACTTATTAAGAGCAAAATTTACCACGAAGGAATAAATTAAAACGGGACGGATAATAAACACCGCAATCGAAAACCAGTAACAGATGATTTCGTGGGAATGCTTTAGATAATTACTCAGCGGTCTGGTATATGTGAATGTGCACCCAGCTACTCGATATAGCGGGTTTATATTTGAATAATTACCTTAGTTTCGAAACAAAGAACAGTTAGATAAAGTTTGCCTAAAAGATATTTGGGATGTGCTATGAATACGTTGATCCAACAAACTTGAAGATAAGCGAATTTCGCTCGCACAATATCTATGTGAGAGGAAAGTGCTCGTCTTACGTCGAGGTGACGAAGTGATTAAATCAAAGCGAGGAAGTAAAATATGTACTAATTTTAATATTAAAGATTTTTATACCACTTTTGGACGTAGAATGAAAAAATGAAGTTCAGACGTTGCTTGCAAGCGTGCAGGAAATGGTAAAAATGTTAAACATCTTCTTTTGCCTTGGGAGATTTTGTAATTTGACAAATAACGAGCATCTTAAAATGAAAATTAACGCCTTAGTAATCAAGTAAATAGGAATGGCTTAAATAAAATGTCGATATTATTTTTATTATTATTTGAGTAATGGGCTTACGATAACATTTTCGAATAAAGTTATACAAATTAGTTATACGAACGCTTCCATTTTTCAATATTCCAGTAAGTAATTCTGTTTAGCTGATGGCGCTAAATTTGCGCAAAAAAATAGATATTTTCTTCTTTCTAGATGGCCATTTAGAGCACGGAAGTAAATATGAACAATTTCAAAAAGTTGTTTTTAAAAGAATTGAAATTGCTTAATAGCTAACGTATGCGTGTTTACTACTTTTAAATATCAATTATCCACAAGTAATTCATAATCTGTAGCATTTTAAAAACACTATACGATCGAATCAACATAACTGAAGGACTTGCTGATGCAGGATGGACCAAGGAGGAACCATTTAGAGAAAAATGTTAAATACAAAAGTTGTAGATACTAACGTCTAGTTTATTTTCAGATAATACCAATTGATACAGGGTGTCTCAAATTCAAGTGGTAGACCAAGAATACCTTTTTTTAAATTGAATGAAGTACTTTTTATTGCATATTCGAACTATCCCCACAATTCTAGCACTAATAATCTTAAGATTTAGAAACGCCTTGATTATCAAGTTGGTGCACTCTCTCTCTCGTTGAATCAAAGTCGGTAGTACCTACTAGAGCGTTTTTATCCGTTGAAGACATATCGATACGGGGGTAAGAATATTTTTCCAACGGACACAAGTTATACAGGGTGCCCCGTAAGCTCATGATCAAAAGAGTACTGCGATATTCTTTGAACCAAAAGAAGACGATCTGACCTAACTTTTATTAACAAAAAATGTCTGGCTTCTCTGCTATTGATGGTCAAAGTTCTTCAAAAAATTTATCTTTTTCGAAATATCTACGAATTTTCTAAAATACATCGTACCATTCTCCCGATATTTCGAAAAAGATAATTTTTTTGAAGAAATCTGACCATCAATAGCAGAGGAGCCAGACATTTTTTGTTAAAAAAAGTTCTGTCAGATCGTCTTCTTTTGGTCCAAAAAATATCGCAGTACCCTTTTGATCATGAGCTTACGGGACACCCTGTATATATATAATGTAATTTTTGCACGTTCAGAAATACTCTCCATCACTGAAAAAAAGGTAATTGAAAATTGTATTGACATCAATCTGCTCAAAGTTTCAGGTATTACCAAATAATATTAATTTAAACCCTTTTTATTCATCTCAGTACTAAAATTAAATAAGCCACTAAGTGAAACAAAGTAACACTTTTAAATTCTCCAAACACGAGAAATTTATTATTAAAAAAATTTTTTTGCTGTTTAAATTCTTTTTCTGATTGGTCCATTGAATATCGACACTCACCTATTACTTGTCCCTCGGTCCAAGCGCTTCCTATTATATTATTTCCTTATGTTATTTGCTTTTCATCTCGATTATTCGGTTTATTTTTAGGACCTGTTATTTAGACTCACATATTTTTAGTCCGTTCAATAGAGTATATTTACCGTTTGGAAAATTGTGGCCATAGAATGGAATGAACTTTAGTATGTTTTATTCAACACAACTACTACAAGGCAATTATAAGAATAAGTGCCAGATTACCACAACTAAGTTCGGATTGATTAAAAAAAAACAATCCACAGACACCAAGTTATAAATTTCACCTAAAAATCTACTCTCTATTCAAATGTCTATAGAGGTCATTCTAAACCATTGACGCAGATCTGTCTGTTTTGTATTCTTCCGACATATTTTTGGACCTCAAATTTGCTCGATAATGTTTCGGAAGCATTTTCCCCATGTCGGTTTAAATAATTTATTGTGCTGCATTTCGACGTGTAAACAGGGATCTAAATATTAACAGAGCACAATACTTTTTTTTTCCTCAAATTACATGTTTTACTTACACCCAAGGTACAAACGTTTTAATAATTAAAAGTTCCTGTTATACAAAACCAAGTTCCCGCTTATTTCCCGTTAGGATGCACCAACTTTAATCACACTTATTGTTTGAGGAAACTCGCATATCTTTACGATTAGGAAGTGCAAAGTATACATCATATATTCGGAATATGTTTTCAGCCAAAGTTTGGCTCAGTTCTCTCCGTCTCAAAACTAAGTTAATTAGTCTAATATATGTCAGTTATAATGCCTGATTGTCTAATTCACACATACCATTATATTGCATGATTATTTATTGCATTCCAAATGACTCATAATAATAAATTGATATCTGGCTTACATCAATTCCGTACATTTCTTTATCAGTATCATTACAATTTTTTTAAATTTTACAGAATTCTGGTAAGAAATTAATGTTCGTTGTTAAGTTTGGTGTATATGCGATTTGTTTGCTTACCTGTATTACGAACCCAGTAGTTGATCGATTTAGGAAATGCTTCCACAAAACATTCTAAAAGGACATCTGTTCCCAGCGGGGCACCGACCAACTGATTAGGAACATGAATTACTGGATGAACTGAAACAAAATAAGATTCCCCTTAATTATACGATTACATTAAGAAGAAATAATTCACAACGTAAAAGGCGTGGCTGCAGTCCCTATAAAGTCGTTGAACGGTTAGTTTCTTGTATGTATGGAGAAGCAGGACAGTGTATGGATTCAGTGAGACTTTGTCTGAACAAAGATATTTAATAAAGAAATTGTGAAAAGCTCAGCTCATTTAAAAAGCTGAATGACAAACGCAAAAATGTCGATACAAATTTGAAACTTGTTCAAAAGTTTCTTCCATATGGCGAGCGAAAAAGAGATTCACGAAAGTGGTGTCAGTAGTGTCCAGAACCAATCAGCGGAATACCACCATTTTTTCCTGTGGCTTGAAAGCCATTTGTGCTAAATGTGCTCAAAGCAGAATTATATTTTCTCGTACTTATTCAATTGATTTTGGTTACATTTTTCATAATTTTATTTTGCGTATAAGGAAATTTAATTTAAAATATTCACACAGTAAAGTACCAAACTCACACACAAGACTTCATCTCACTGCTTTCAAAACAACATCAGACGGCAGAAGTAATTCAAATTTATGAAATAGTCTATGATTATATATACTATATTTATAAACTTCTTGATCTTTTTACATAGTGAATCTGTCGTGTAAATATACTACCCTTCTGTTGTCGAGGAACTGCAATACAGATTAACGTAAATTTCATTCGTCTTTGGCCGTTTTTTGTTATTCTGATCTGTTCCGCATGACATTTTCTAGGAGGATTCAGTCCCTTTCTACATTATCGTAATCTTTCGCCCTATTGCTTTAGATTTTTGAAAATACCTTTTGAATTTCCTTAGCGTTCGACTGCTTTGTTTGATGCTTTCTTCACTGGTTTTTCGAGTCGGACTCTCAGTTTAGCTACACTTACGTGTAACATTGTAAGACTTTTTTTTTATCAATTTCTGGATATGATTTGGGCCTGACAATTGTAGCCAGGAACTTATTTCTAATTCTTATGAAGGTTAGTACTTTTGGAGGTAACTGAAACATACTGGTACATACTTGCCGTATGCTATGCTCTTGGATAAACTCTAATAGACTCCCACTATCCAATTCCCCACACACCAATAACCCAATCATCACACTAATGTCTGTTTTCGAAGTGAAATTTTTCAACCACACTTTTTACTCCAGTGGCTGTTCAAGTTTCAGCAGTGAAACATATTCTCAAAATAAAGTACTTGTAGCTCTTTAAATTGTAAACTACACAACTACACACATGTAAAACGAGTCATTCGAGCGTTACTTCCAAAAACATTTTTATGTGCACCATTGGAAAGCACATGTAAAAAAGCAAAAGGTTTCAGATATTAACAATAAAAAGTTCATATTAGTTGCTAATGGAACAATAAATGGTTTTACTCTGCTTTGCTGTAAACTCTCCATGTTACCTCAATATCCGAAATCGATATGCCATATCTTCTTAATAGTAGCAATTTCGTGTGTTTATTACAATGCTTCAGCTTGATATTTAAATGCATAAATAAAAATAAGTACTTACAGTGCACGTGAACCATGATCCTTTTACTGACGCTCGGAGGAACGCCATTGGATGCGATGCACATGTAAGCACCCATTTCCGTTCGGGATATCTTCCACAGTTGCAGCGTCTCACCTTCATACGATTTTACTGAAACGATAAAAATGCGGTTTACGAACTTTTCTCTTATTAGCTGAACTATAACACAAGAAATATATTATAACAAATGTGGTGCAACTGGGACAAAACGCAGATTGCTCCCGAAACTCCCCAACTAACACGTCAGTTGGAAAACAACGTATAAAAACAGCTTTAATATATTTCTTGCTTTAATGATAATGATATATGCTAGAACGAGCTGCGGCCACAGTGCGAATACCATTTCTATTATCTGTTACTATACAGTGTGTCCAGTATAAAATGATGTACATGGGGATATTGGAAACCGTTAAAGATACAGAGTGGACCAAATGGGAAAAAAGTTGCGCAATCGAGTGCCTATAAATAATTTCTCATCAACTTCTTTGAACTCGGAATAGCAACGGATATACGGATATACAAAAAAAAAAGAAAAAAGTGCATTTTATAAAACCCTTCATATCGTGTTTATGATAAAAGATACAATAACGAAATTTGCAGGGTGGGGGTAAGAAATAAACGTGAATTTGAAAATAAAGTAAGAAATAATCTAGGCCCACTATGTTCAATGAGGCCGAAGTCAACTTTTGTTTTTYTTATGGGCGCCATATTCAATTTCTGCATTTTTAAATTCCCCTTTAAATATGCTCTTCACCCATGTATAACATGTTAATGTTCGGTCAAGATAAATAATTAAAATTAACAAATTTAAGATTTTATGGTAGTAGGCATTGATATTTCTCTTCAATTTCCCCATAGTGACGTTCGTTGTCTGTTTTAATTACCTAGGTAACTGTCAAAGTAGAATTTATTGTCAGTGCCAAGTATTTGTAATTAATTGTGTGTTTCAAAATGAATCACTTTGCAAATTATGAAAATACGATATGTTGGAGTGTCGTCGAAATGAAGCGAAAGCTGAAGAAACGTATTTAAATAAATATCCAGAAAGGCGACAACCTGGTAGAACTATGTTTAGGCGTCTGAAAGACAACCTTGTAGCTTACGGGAGTTTTGCTAAGGTAAAGAAAAACAAACTTCCAGACGAAAATAAAGAAAATTTGGTAATGCAAAGCGTGGTTGGGACACTTCGTACGTCTTTACGTCAAATTGAAGCCACAACAGGTGTTGCGCGGTCAACGGCGAATAGTATTTTAAAGCGTCATAAATATCACCCCTATCGTGAACGGTCCTGCCAGGGACTCCAAAATCGCGATGCGATTAGAAGAATGGCATTTTGTCAGTGGTTTATTCAATGAAATAACAAGATACCAAACTTTTGCTTAAAAGTCCTTTGGTCAGATGAGAGCCAATTTACTAAATGTGGACTATTTAATCGTAAAAATACCGTTTTTTGGTCTGATGAAAATCCACGGCTAGTTTGTCAAGTTAGGCACCAAGTTAGGTTTCGATTTAACGTCTGGTTAGGTATTGTGGGTACCCACGTGATTGGACCATTTTTTTAATGAGAACATAAATTCCGAGAAATATTTGAACCTCTTATAAACTAACGTAGCGGAAGCGCTTATGAATGTTCCAGTAGCTACCCTGCAAAACTTCTATTTCCAACAAGACGGCGCGCCGCCACATAATGGACGTATTATCACAGAATTTTTAAACCACGAATTTCCCAACAAGTGGATAGGCAACCTGGGATCAGTAAGATGGCCTGCGAGATCCCCTGACAAAACACCGCTTGATTTTTTTGCATGGGGTTTCCTCAAAAATGTAGTATACTGTAGGTCATACGAAACCTAAGAGGAGCTGAGACACGCTGTTATAGAAGCTGTTAACAGAATTACCCCAGAAATGATCAGAAAATCCTGTGAAGCAGTAATGAGACGATGTATG